CCCAGGGAGGTTCTGAGCCTGGGAGGTAGTAAAGACATTCCTGTCCCCCTTGGCTCTCCAGCCCTTCGGCCTCACTCCGGACCCCAGGGGTGGGGGCGATGTCCCCTGCCGGCCCTCAGGTCCCGGTCCATGGGCCTATAGGCTCAGAGCGACTTGGGTCCACAGGATGTTCCCGGGACCCAAGCCACTGGGTGCCTGCATATGCAAATTAACCTACCATATTTGTCCGATTAATCTGCACATTCAATCCTGATAGACTGGTGGGCATAGCAGAGGTATGTTCAATTTGCATCTTTCTCTTTTATTAGTGTAGACTTGTGATCTCCCTCCCCAACCCCCTGTAACATAAGCTCCACAAAGGCAGGGATTTTTGCCTGTTTTGTTCATTGCTACTCACCCAACATTTATAATAGAACATGTGGAATGTGTGGCAAAAGTCACCAAGACTGATCAAGATGAAATAAAATACTATGAAAAAAATGTAGCATATTAACATACTATAGGCAAAGAAAACCCACAAAGCACCAAAACACAACCAAACAAAACCTATTTTAAAAAATGAGAAAAGAGCCCTAGCTGGTTTGGCTCAGTGGATAGAGCATTGGCCTGTGGACTGAAGGGTCCCGGCATCAATTCCCGGTCAAGGCACATGCCCAGTTTGTGGGCTCTATCCCCAATGTGGAGTGTGCAGGAGGCAGCCAATCAATGATTCTCTCTCATCATTGATGCTTCTATTTCCCTCTCTTTCTCCCTTCCTCTCTGAAATCCTAAAGATAGATATATATATATATATATATATATATATATATATATATATATATATATATATATATAACGAAGAACATAGCAAAGAGCACGGCCCAAAAGAAAATAAAACTGAAATAAAAGACGACAGTTTCTAAATTCTTCAAAACTGATTCATGCTATTTAACTTAACATATATTCAATAAAATAAAAACTTGAATATGGGATGATAAGTAGCCTTATAAGATGATAAGGAGAATTCAGGACCAAAGAAGTAAATTAAGGACACAAATATATGGTCATAATGGTCAGTACATGCATCAAAAATAGCAAGAAATAAAATACATTGCATAAAATAAAATTACAAATATCAAGTCTGGATATAATGGTGAACATAGATTAAAAAAAAAAAAAAAAAAAAAAAAAAGACAGCCGAGACCGGTTTGGCTCAGTGGATAGAGCGTCGGCCTGTGGACCGAAGGGTCGCAGGTTTGATTTTGGTCAAGGGCATGTACCTTGGTTGCGGACACATCTCCAGTAGGGGGTGTGCAGGAGGCAGCTGATCGATGATTCTCTCTCATTGATGTTTCTAACTCTCTATCCTTCTCTCTTCCTCTCTATAAAAATCAATAAAATATATATATTAAAAAAAGACAAAAAAATAAAGCAATTAAAGAATAGATAAAAATAAGAACAACAACAACAACAACAACAAAAATGCAACATAAGGCTAACCGATTTCCTCCAAGTAGAAATTCTAATCAATGGAACAGCAGATATGTTCAAATAAATTACAGAATTCCCATGAAATAAAGAAAGCACTGAGTTTATAGATCAAAGAGCATCCTGTGTCCCAGGAGAACTGTATATAGAATGCTTTCACTAAGACGCAGTCAAACTTTTGGAGTACAACACAAAACATTCTTCAGATATCCAGACATAAAAAAGAAAATCACCTAAATGGGGGAGGGGGAGGAGAGGAAGAGAGAATTATGCCATTCACAGACTGTTCAATGCCTGAAGAGTAATTTCTACAAAGCTCTTAAGGAAGAAAAAAATGATCCCATAATATTATGCTTAGCCAAGATATAGTTTTAGAAATAAGGCATAAGTACATTTAGCGAAATATGAAGAACTCAGGGAATATAGAGGCCTTCTCGAAAAGGAGATGGACAATAAACCTTAGTCAAAGAGCATAGGAAGGGAGAATCCATGACAGGGCAGTTGAAAAGCAAGGAATCTACCAAATAACGGAGACCATACCTGTACCAGGCACGGCTTAGGAGATGAGGATACAGCAGTAACAAAGTCTCTGCCCTTATTGAGCTAATATTCTGAAGGAGGGAGGCAAAAAAGCATAAATATATGTTGTTGAGTGCTATGAACAATTTAAAACTAGGTTGGGGAGTGAAGAGAGTACTGCTTTTTTACAAATGGTGGTCAGAGAAAGGCCTCTTAGAAGACTGCATTTGACCAGACATTGGAGGAGACAAAGGAGCCAGCCAAGTGACTATTGGGAGTAAGCTTCTGGGAAAAGCAACAATGAGTATAAAGGTTCCATTGATGAAAGTGAGCTCCATGGGCTCAAGAACAGCAAGGAAGATGCCAACAAATCTGAAGTGGAATGGGGACAGACTGCTAGGGGAGGAGACTGGGGCACTTGGCACATTATCATTCATAAAGAGAAGACTCTGTGCATCAACTCAGAGCTTAGCTGGTCCCTGACACCTCATAGTACTTAGAGAGATAAAGATTATGGCTTTGTAGATAGGATATATGGGAAGAGGTAAGCAAAGAGAAGTGTGCAATGTCATAATTAAGGAATAAAATATAGATGAACTTGGCTGAGATGTTGGGAGTAGTAAAAATGGAATCTGACAGTGCAAAGGTATTTCTTTGTCATTTATTTCTTGCCCTGCCCAGTGTGATTCAGTGGTTGAGCACTGACACATGTTCAATCCCCAGTCAGGGTACGTGTCCTGGTTGCAATTTCAAGCTCCATCCCCAGCAGGTGATGTGCAAGAGGCAGCCTATAGATGTTGATGTTTCTTTCTGTCATTGATGTTTCTATCTTTCTATCCCTCTCCCCTTCCATCTCTCTAAAATCAATAAACAAACATATAAAAATTATTTATTCCTCAAAAAATAAAAGATAAAAATACCATATGATCCACCATTTCCATTTCTGGGAATACACCAGAAAGAAATAAAATCACTATGCTAAAGAGATATCTATAACTCTATGTTCATTGCAACATTAGTCACAGCAGCCAAGACAGGGAAACAACCTAAGTGTCTGTTGAAGGGTGAACAGATACAAAAAAAGAATAAAAAATATGTGGTGAAACCGGTTTGGCTCAGTGGTAGAGTGTCGGTCTGTGGACTGAAAGGTCCCAGGTTCGATTCCGGTCAGGGGCATGTACATTGGTTGCGGGCACATCCCCAGTAGGGGGTGTGCAAGAGGCAGCTGGTTGATGTTTCTCTCTCATCGACGTTTCTAGCTCTCTCCTCCTCTCTGTAAAAAATCAATAAAATATATATATATTTTTAAAAATGGGGTGTATACAAAAGGAAACCCTGCCATCTGCAACAATATAGATGGATCTTGAGGGCATTATGACAAGTAAAATAAGTCAGAAAGAGAAAGACCAATACTGAATGACCTCATTTATATGTTGAATCTCAAAAACAAAAAACAGAAACAGAAACAAAAACTCATAGGAAAAGAGACCAGACTTCCTGTGTAGGAAGGAAATCTGCCCTCTGTCCTTCCAGGCCTCTTTGCTATACATTCTTGAAAAGACAGACTGAGACAATGCTACCACATACGTAAACATATCATGAGAATAGATGGGACAAACAGAAAACAGCCAGCAAGATGGTAAATTTTAATCTAATCTTACCAATAATCACATTAAAGATGACCAGATTAAACAAAGATAGAGACTGTTAGACTAGATAAGAAAGAAAGATCCAACCATACCATTTATCAGAAACAGACTTTAAATATAAAGACATCAATAGGTTAAAAATAAAGGAATGGAAAGAGATATATACCATGCCAACCAATACTAACAGAAAAAAGTTGGAATAGCTCTATTAAAAAAGTGATTTTTAGAACAATGGATATCATTAGGGATAATAAGAGATACTGCAAAGAAAAAAAACACACATCCAAAACCAAAGCTGGAGACAGAGGCTTGAAAGCTCAGTTAACTGCACAGGGAAATTATAATTTACTAGGGGCCCAGTGCACGAATTTGTGCACCTTGAAAGAAATATGGGGTGAGAGCCTGAGGTAGGCACAGGATCAAGTCTTGGCCCATCCTCCATGCCCCTGCCCGACCCCTCCTGCCCCAGCCCTCGGCCCCATGTCTGCTTGCAGCCCCGCTCTTGCCGGTGCCACTCCCTCACATTCACGGCACTGGCCCTGCTTGTACCACTGATGGCGTGGAGCGAATTGGGCCAGCGCCAGTAGCGGATGCAAGCAGCGGCTCTGGTGCAGGCTGCAGGTGCGAGAGCCGGGCAGGACTGCAGCACGCCAGAGCAAAGAATTTTCAGTAACCACCAGAGGCTTGCCCCAATGACAGCGACCAGTGCCCCACCTTGGTCTAGTACCCCCGCTCACCTGCTCCACCATCCCACCACGACCAATGCCCGCCATGTTCCGCACTCTCCCCTGGTGGTTAGTGCACATCATAGCGACTGGTTGTTCGGTTGTTCCACTGTTCGGTCTATTTGCATATCAGCCTTTTATTATATAGGATTTGTCTAATAGTAATCACTAAAATGTTACAGAAACTTTTCTAGCAATTTCTTTAAAATTAAGTAGCTCAGAATGGGATGTAAGTTTTTTCCTTGTAATATTGTAGAGTTGCTTTTCATTAAGAATTGAGGTTAAGCCCAAGCTGGTTTGGCTCAGTGGATAGAGTGTCAGCCTGCCAACTGAGGGCTCCAGTTTGATTACGGTCAAGGGTACATACTCAGGTTGCAGGCTTCATCCATAGTAGGGGGCATACAGGAGGCAGCCAATCAATGATTCTCTCTCACCATTGATATTTATATCTCTCTCTCCCTCTCTCTTCCTCTATTAAAAACAAAAACAAAAAACTGAGGTTAAAACAGGCCTAACTTTCAAGTCAGTAGTTATCAAATTTGCTGGTTTGTAGCTCCAATTAATCCTAAGATAAATTTTAAAAGGTAATTTTTTTCAAAAGCATCATTAAAAAGCTACAACTAAAAACACTGTACATTACCTATTTTTTTCACAACAGAAACTACCAATCCTATTAAGTCCACCTCAGAACAATGTGGCTGGAAGTCTGGATTTAGTAATTGGCTGAAGGGAAGTGGATGCCTCGGCTGATAAACTTTGAACAGGATTTCATCTGAAGCCTACAAGAAAAAAACAACACACCAGCATGTGTAGATTCTATAAACTCATATACATTTATCAAAATTAAAAAATTACAGTAAGAAGTACTTACTGGTATTTCCTGAAATTGAGTGTTTTTGGTTGCTGTTAACTGTATATTAGCTCTTCCAGATTTAGTTTTAGATTTTGATGTTGCAAGATGATAGATTCTATATCTCTTTCCCTCTGTTAGCAGGGAATATAAATCTGATGATGGACGCCAGATACTTAATATAACTATTCAGATAAAGAGAAAAAAGACACAATGGAAAAATTGATAATCATTAAATTCTTGCTTAAAAGTAAATACTGAAGGGGAATAAAATCACAGAGTCAAGCATGAGAAGGACACAATGCACTGTTACTGGTCTGACAATGAAGGCCACCACATAAGAATGCAGGAGGCCATTAAAGCAGACTGGCCTCTTGTGACATGCAGCACAAGAAATGGAATGAATTCTGCTAAGAACTGTAGTGAGCTTGGAAGAGGAACCTGAACATGAGATATTTCAGCCTCATGAGACACTGAGTAGAGAGCCCAGCCAGTTCCTTCCAAACTTCTGATCTACAGAACTGTGAGATTAACAAATGAATTTTACCCAGGACAGAAAAAGCCAGTGATCCAAGCAGGTGGATTGGAAGGCCTAAAAGCCCTTCCCTGTCACTGATTCCCCAAAAGGATTTGGTCTTTCCCCAGTGGACCAGCCAGAACATTTTATTTAGAATTGGACACTAAAGCAACAGTCACACTAAGTTTGGTAACTTGACTCCAGGTAATCTCCTTTTTTGTTCCCAAGCTCAGCCTGAAAGAAGGACCCAGGCCAATTCAGCATCTGTGGAAACCAGGGGGACCCAGGGTCCTTTGGGAGTGATGGCGAGACCTGCAGTGCCCCTTTTCCCTGCCTGACTGTGCTCTAACCCCGAGGCCGCCTTAGGACCGGACCCAGTGGATGCAGGCTCCTTCTCTTCTGCTTGGTAGAAAAATTTGGCCACGAGTTATGAAGGACCATAAAACTAGTGAAAACATCCATCTCTGCTTGTTAAGGAGCATCTCTTTGATTTTGATATTTTGGAACTTAGCAGTAACAAAATGACTGAAAAACACAGCTGTTTTTTGGGGGGCCAATTTGGTGGATGTGAAAACAGAGATGTGAAGCTTGAGGAAATAGCCAAAAAAGAGAGAGAGACAGGAACGAGCAGAGAATGATAAAGAAAAAGGGAGAAAGTAGGGGATGGAAGGGAGAGGAGCTGGGTTTCAGTCTATGGGCCTAGAGACCACAGCTTCTCACTTTGACTGCTCCCACTTTTTACTGATCTGGCCCCAGAATCCAGTTCCACTAGGAATTATAAAGCTGCTGGCCAGGCATTTGTTCCTGTAGTTTCATTCCCAGTTTGCAAGGAGAAATAAGGTGAGTTATGTTGGTTTCCATGGAGTGGAAGCCAAGGCTGGAATCCCACTGGTTCCCTTGGAGATCACTGTCAAGTAGAGAAACACAGAAAGCTTTGGGGCATATGTAACTTTGTTAAAATTTTATTCTAAATTCAAAATAAAATCTTCTGCCTTAAAAAAAAGGATACTAATAACAACTAATGTCTAAGGATTCCATTATCATTTTGTGGGCACCGATAGACAATTTTTGCTCCACTATTGCACTAACTTTACACTTTTCTAGCACTTAAAATCACTTTATTAAGATAATAATTTAACTTAAAACTAATAAAAAACAAGTAATACTGACCAGAATCTTTTTCTTTTTTCGCATAGCTTATGATACGCAGCTTCCACACAGTTGTAACGTCCCTTGATAACATTTGCTCCCCTTTCTCAGCAGATTCCACAGCCTTCCGGAATTCCAATTGGATCTGTGCTTGCTTCTTATCATTCAACATCTGTCTGTGATTATTCAAGGCTCTTAACTGCTCATCACTAATATAACCCTGTGATTATTTAATATATGAAGGCAGATAAGGTTAGAATAAAAAGCAAACAAAACATCTCATCTATTGTAAATGAATCCCTTTAAATGGGGATAAAATGCAAAGTTGAGGTCACTTTAAGAGTGTGACAATATAGCCGAAACCGGTTTGGCTCAAGGAATAGAGCGTCGGCCTGTGGACTGAAGGGTCCCGGGTTTGATTCTGGTAAAGGGCAAGTACCTTGGTTGTGGGCACATCTCCAGTAATGCGTGTGCAGGAGGCAGCTGATCGATGTCTCTCTCTTATCAATGTTTCTGGTTCTCTATCCCTCTCTGTAAAAAATGTTTCTAACTTTCTATTCCTCTCTGTAAAAAAATCAATAAGATATTTTTTTAAAAAGTGTGACAATATAAAAATTGAGATTAATATACTCATCACATAACAAATATGTTCTGGTGTCTTAAACTGTTTCCTAATCTTTGTTACAAATTTCCCCTCTTTATAAATGTACTCTAATAATCATATCTATCAATATAGGTGACATAATAAATGGCTAACATGTAAAGGCTCACTCTATTTAAGAAATGGATCTATGTGTGATAAATGTATTAATTTATTTGATCTGTATTATAATCCTATGAGGTAGATACTGTTATCATTTCCATGTTGTAGATGATGAAACTGAGGTGCAGAGAATAAATAACTGCAGAGGCACACAAGTAGGGTTAGCTCAAGAACCCTCATTTTTGGCCCCCATAGTGTAATTTCATGAACTCCCTGGAACAGTAGAACAACTTAAAACAGACACGTCTGAGCCCTGGCCAGCTCAGCTGGTTACAGCACGGTCACAATGCGCCAAGGTTGCAGGATCAATCTCTGGTCAGGGCACATAAAAGAATAAACCAACGAATGCATAAACAAGTGGAACAACAAATTAATGTCTCTCTCTCAAAGTCAATGAAAAAACAAAGCAAAACCAAACAGACACGTGCTATAAACACTTCTTGCTGCCTCCACACTTTTCAACAATCACTTCACCAAACTGCTCTACTTCTTGAAAATCTCACCCAGTGTTAACAAGAATGAATAAAAAAAATAAAATAAAATAAAACAAAACAGGAAATAGAATCTAACACATAATGCACTAGACTACTACTGCCTTATAAATGTTAATCTGATCTACATGGGGAAGGGACACTTGAACTCTCTGTACCCTGCAAAGGGGCTAAAAATGAAAACAATGTTTAAAACATGAATTAAAAATAAATCTGTGATTTCCAAAGTCCCACAACATTAGCATTGTCACAGAAAACAAATCCTTTTAACAGGGTATTTTATAAATTGATGCCTATTTTTCCCTGTAAGAATTATAGTGATCAGTTGATCTGAGTGAACCTCAGAATCATAAATCAGAACCTGATAGATAAGCTCCTCTCAGGCATCCCCTGATAGAAGGTAGAAAGAAAGCCTAAGAGATACATCGCTTGTCCAGTTACAAAAATCAGGACTAGGTCCAGAACTTAGTCTTCCAACTCTTATTCTGCTCATTACTTCCTCTTTATAAATAAATTATATAAAAGGATACCAGCCTAATAAATACTTCATTAAAATTTGTGGATGAAATTAAAACTATCTTCATTCTTATGAAGATAGTTTTAATTTCATCCACAAATTTTAATCAACCAAAGAACTTGTGAGCATGCATATAAGCCTAACCAGTGGTCATGGACACCGGGGGGAGGGGGGGATGGGATGGGAATGGGGGAATAAGGACAATTATATGATACCATAATCAATAAAGAAATTAAAAAAAAAGTATCTTCATGATAACTCAGAGAAAGCACAAGCTTCAACATATATAATTAATATAAGTGATAGACACAAAAAATGTTTCAGGAAAGTAAAATAAAGCCTTAATTTATAGACTTGTAGGAAGTACACTCACAGGCTTTCAAACTGACTCACTTTTTACCTGGAGAATTTAAGTACCCTTTTGGGAATGTGAGGCAATTCTATTCAGAATAGCACTGCTTACTCTCCTAATGGAGTATTGTTTATTTTGTAGTCCCATTGTTTAAGAAACTTAAAGCTACATACAAGATTTATTATCATCAAATAAATGAGATTAATCAATAAACAAAAATAGTTTTCCTAGAATTTCTCACCTCTTTCCTATCTAGCAAACTAATGCTTGCATTAATTAGATTCCTGGTGTCTAAAAATTTAGAAGGTATCTTATCTTCATATATGAAATGATGTTCTAACAGCAATTAACATTTATAAGAAACTTTAATAACAATACACTTTTATATATATTACCTAATTTGATCCTAAAACAAATTATTTTACGATCATTGTATAGCTATTTTATGCCTAATTTGCTTGGCTAGTAAATGGCAGAGCCCTGATTCTAAAGCCTGTGGTATTTCTAACACAGTTCAGTACTTCTGCACTTGTCCATTTAAATACCTTTGAAACAGCGAATTATAAAACACTCTTGAGAAAGATCTGAGAAGAGCTGAGAACATGGAAATTAAGATACTTATTTCATCTTAAAAGTAAACAAGTTTTGCCTGCATTTTAAGCCACATTTATCCTATAAAATAAAAGGCTAATATGCAAATTGACCCATCAGTGGAACAACCGGTCACTATGACGCGCACTGACTATCAGGAGGCAGATGCTCAACACAGGAGCTGCCTAGTGGTGGTCAGCAAACTCCCACGGGGGAGCGCCACTCAGCCGGAAACTGGGCTCACAGCTGGTGAGTGCAGCTGCAGTGGTGGGAACCTTTCCTGCCTCTGCTGCAGGCGGGCAATAAGGAGCCCCAGACTGCCAGAGGCATGTCCGGGGGATTGCGCATAAGCCAGCAGGTGGACATCCCCCAAGGGGTCCTAGGCTGCGGACCCCCGATAGTGCATGAATGTTGTGCACTGGGCCTCTAATTTAATATATAATATTATTTAACACTCCTATCTTCTATTTGATACAGAATTAAAAATATATCACTGTGGTTTGGCTCCTCATTGCAAACCCAAATATGCACATGCCCCCTTTGAGAAACAGCATTTCAACACCCCGCTTCCCATGATGGCCAGACAAAGTGCCCACATCTTTCACCTTAAAGCTTACTGTTATGCCCTCTTCCTCTCTCACCTCAAGGTAACTGGGGTCTGGCACAGTTTTTACTGCTTCATAGAGCTCTGCTCCATCCTGCAGAGCACAGACTTGTTGCCTGGTTAGTGCACGTGATGGTGTACATTGTTTTGTTATATTTTCTAGAAAAAAAAATCACTAATTAGCTAAACCACAAACTTAACAGTGCTGAAAACAAGACAACCAAGCAAAAAACACACAAAGAAGGGAGATTAAAAAATAAGAAACAATTTATCTGCTAAAAGTTTTCTAGGAAAATGTGAAGCTGCTATGTTCATGGTTTAAAAAATTATCGAGGAGGCGGAGCTTGAAGATGGCGACCGAACAGTCGGACTTGTTCTGACTCTGGTCCCAGAACAGACAGAAACAGCGTCTGAGTCGCTCAGGGAATGTTGATTGGCAGCTAAGGGGCTTCGGAATTCTCTAGGAAGGTAAGGAAAGGTCCGTTGGACAAGATTTCCTGACCAAGAGGCCAGCACTGCCGCGGCTGCAGCGGCTCTCCCAGCGAGCTCTCGCGGAGAGAAGGCAGCGCCATCTTACCAGGAAAGGAGGAGCATCCCTGAGGCCTGGAAAAACACACAGCGGGGAGGTCCATCAAGCAGCTGAGAAGCCCGAATCGGCACGGGCGCGTGGAATCCGGGGAGTTCTTCGGTCACCCACGGAAAGGTCAGAGTTTGCGGGGACAGCCTAGGGGACCGGGGTCCCGCGGCCCAGGCGGCTACGGTAGCCGGGGAGCTCCAACCCCTCCCTCAGGGTAGCCGGGAGCGCGCACTACCGGACGCCGAGCAGCACCCAAAGAAGGCTGCAGCGACACCTAGTGCTGGGTTTGACGTAATCCTCCCCAGAAGCGGGACTTGTTTAAAACGCCACAGGTCACTGGACAGAGCGTTAAGAATCTCGGCTGTTTCGCCAAGGGCGGAACATCTGGACACCTTGGTGCCTGATCCCCTTCACCCCCTTGCTTCTGAATACTAGGGAAGGACTGCCCAGCTGGACATATCCGGGGAAATTGCAGGGGGAAATTGCCTTCCTGGAAACAAGGGATCTGTACCAGAAGAGATAGTCTGGGAGCCAGCTGGCACCCTGCCAGCTAGAGCCATAGAGAAAGAAGACCAGAGCAACCAAAAAGACTGGGAGGTCAAACCAGTAACACTGACACCTAAGAGCTGAATTACAAACTGCCCCCCCCCCTTTTTTTTTTTTTTTTTTTCCTTCTCTTTTCTTTTCCTTTATCTTTTAATTAATCAAAAATAAATGGACACAAATAACTAAGATATAGTCTACTTAAAATTAAGGATTACCTTACAAATCTGAGGTGCAGTGGAATGCTGGGAACTGCAAGACTTTTTGGGCCGAGAATCAGGAGTGCCAAATACATTAACAGAGGAAGTGAATGACCACTACTGGACATTTTTATGCTAATTTTACTATTATTTTATTTTCATTTTTTACCTCTTTTATTTAATCTTCATTTTTTATATCTTTTACTTAAGAAACGATTTTTTTTCCTTACTTGATTTTACCTTTTTAATTATTACATTTTTCAATCTCTATCATCACTATTACTACTGCTATTTTGCAATTTTTTTTTTTTTTTTTTCCCTCTTCAGTACCATTTTATTTTTTTTCTTTATTTTACCTTGGGAGTAACCTTCATTCTATTTTAATCTCTACTATAGCATCATTCAACCCTATCTCAACTCGACCTTTACACCATCACTCTCTTGCTAAACTTTACCCTTTTAGTCTACGGTTTATCCTATCCCTTTCCGGCTTTAGTTTTTCCTCCATTCTTTCTGTATACCCCCTGCTAAAACTCTCACTATACTTATAGACCTATGTTCCAACCCCTGATCCAAGTGTATAAATACCAATCTCTGCACTATATTAACTAGTTAAAAAAAAAAAAAAAAAAAAAAAAAAAAAGAAAGAAAAACTGTTCTCCCCTCTATCCTTTTCGCATTGTTTGTGTGAAGGTTGATTATTGTGAATTTTTAGGCTTGTTAGTGAAATTGTTATGATTATTACTGTGTTGTTATTGTTGCTTTGTATTTTTTTTTAAAAAAATACTCTGTTTTTGTTTGTATCTTTTACTTCTGTATATCATAGCCTTACTTAATAATAGGGGATATTGTAGTTTGTATTAATCTCCAAGTATTGTTACTGGCATTAGCTGGGTTCAGTGGTTGTTCTATGGCAGTTTTCTCCACATACATATAGTTTGTTTCCCATTTCTCTTTTAGTTTGCTTCTTCTCTCTCTTTCTCTTTCCTCTCCTTTCTTTTTTTCCTGTTTTCCAACTTTATTTTGTCATTACTTTTTTTCCTCTTTTTCTATCTCTTTATCCCTCTTTTTTTATTTTATTTACTTAATTTTTTTTTAATTTTAATTTTTACTTTTTAAAATTTTTCTTTATTTTATTTTTACCTTTCTTCCTTCTCTCCTATCCCCTAAGTTGCCTTTCTCTAGTGGTCACCTTTACTAAAGGTTATTAATATTGTAAGTACATTCCTGTTAAGTGCCTCTTGTGTTGTACCAGGTAGTGTTTGTATTTTCAAATTTTAAATCAACGCAGGAGAAGGAACACCACATAACCAGACATCCTGAGAAGAGAGGCCATGGGGAGACAAAAACATAGTCCGCACATGAAAGAAAAGCAGGCATCACCAGAAAAGGAAGTAAACGAGCCCGAGGTAAGCAGCCTACCAGAGCAAGAATTCAGAATAATGATCATAGGCTGGCTAAAAAGAATGGAAGAGAAATTTGACAATAACCAAGAAGAAATGAGGAAGAACCATGAAGAATTGAAGAAGAACCAAGAAGAAATAAAAAATGACATCGCTACCATGAAGAACTCAATAGAAAGCATCAAGAGTAGACTAGAGGAAGCAGAGGACCGCATCAGTGAGCTAGAAGATAAGATGGAAAAAAATACCCAAGTAGAGCAGCTTCTAGAAAAAAAGATTAAAAAGCAGGAGGAGAGCCTACGGGAGCTTTGGGACATTACAAAACAAAATAATATTCGAATAATAGGGGTTCCAGAAGGAAAGGAAACTGAGGTAGACATGGAAAAAGTATTTCAAGAAATAATGACAGAAAACTTTCCTGAAATAGAGAAGAAAAAACCCACACAAATCCAAGATGCTCGCAGAGTCCCAAGCAAAATGAATCCCAGAAGACAGACTCCAAGGCACATTATAATCAAATTGGCAAACAACAATGACAAAGTAAGAATCTTAAAAGCAGCCAGAGAGAGACAGAAAGTTACATACAAAGGAACCCCCATCAGACTAGCAACTGATTTCTCAACAGAAACTTACCAGGCCAGAAGGGAATGGGATGAAATATACAAAGTCATGCAAAGGAAGGGTCTGAATCCAAGAATACTGTACCCAGCAAGGCTATCAATCAAAATTGAAGGGGAAATCAGGAGCTTCACAGACAAAAAAAGACTGAAGGAATTTATCTCCACCAAACCAGTAATGCAAGAAATGCTAAAGGGTCTACTGTAAAAATAAAGAAATAGGAAGTGAAGAAGGAACACGGGTATAGAATAAAAATGGCGTCAAATGTGTACCTATCAATAATAACCTTAAATGTAAATGGATTAAATGCTCCAATCAAAAGACATAGGGTATCAGATTGGATAAGAAAACAAGACCCATACATCTGTTGTCTACAAGAAACCCACCTCAGAAAAAAAGATGCACACAGACTGAGGGTGAAGGGATGGAAAAAAGTTTTCCAGGCAAATGGAAATGAAAAAAAAGCTGGGGTAGCAATACTTATATCTGACAAATTAGATCTCAGAGTGAAGGACATAATAAGAGATAATGAAGGCCATTTCATAATACTAAAGGGAACAATCCAACAAGAAGAAATAACCCTGGTAAATATATATGCACCCAATACAGGAGCAACCAAATACATAAAAAAACTGCTGGAGGACATTAAGAGAGAGATTAATAGCAATACAATCATAGTAGGAGATTTTAATACCCCACTGTCACCCTTCGACAAATCATCTAAACAAAAAAACAGCAAAGAAATATCGATCCTAAGTGACTCACTAGACCAGATGGAATTAATTGACATCTTCAGAACACTCCACCCCAAAGCCACAGAATATACATTCTTCTCAAGTGCACATGGGACATTCTCAAAGATAGACCACATTTTGGGTCATAGGCAAAGTCTCTTCAAATTCAAGAAGATAGAAATCATATCAAGTATCTTCTCAGACCATAATGGCATAAAACTGGAAATTAACTACAATAAAAATAATCCAAAGAAATCAAACACATGGAGACTAAACAGCACGCTATTAAACAAGGACTGGGTTACCAGAGAAATCAAGGAAGAAATTAAAAACATCCTGGAAACAAATGACAATGAAAACACAACAATCCAAAATCTATGGGACACAGCAAAAGCAGTCTTGAGAGGGAAGTTCATATCCTTACAAGCCTATTGCAAAAAACTAGAAAAAGGGGTAACAGATGATCTAACTCTACAACTCAAAGAGTTAGAAAAGGAGCAACAAGAAAAGCCCAGTGTAAGCAGAAGGAAGGAAATAACAAAAATCAGAGCACAGATAAACGACATAGAGACCAAAAAACAATACATAAGATCAACAAAACCAAGAGCTGGTTCTTTGAAAGAATAAACAAGATAGATGAACCTCTAGCCAGGCTAACTAAGAAACAAAGAGAGAGGACCCAAATAAACAAAATCAGAAATGAAAGAGGTGAAATAACAACAGACCCCAACGAAATACAACGGATTGTTACAAAATACTACGAACAACTCTATTCCAACAAACTGAACAACCTGGAGGAAATGGACATATTCCTAGAAAAATACAAACTTCCAAAACTCGATCAGGAAGAATCTAAAAATCTCAATAGACCAGTGACTTGGGAAGAAATTGAAACAGTCATCAGAAAGCTTCCAGCAAACAAAAGCCCAGGGCCAGATGGCTTCACAGGAGAGTTTTACCAAACATTCAAGGAAGAACTAAAACCTATCCTCCTCAGACTTTTCCAAAAAATTCAAGAGGAAGGAACACTTCCAAACTCCTTCTATGAAGCCAGCATCACCCTAATACCAAAACCAGATAAAGACAACTCAATGAAAGAGAATTACAGGCCAATATCCCTCATGAACATAGATGCCAAAATCCTCAACAAAATCCTAGCAAATCGGCTCCAGCAGAGCATCACAAAGATCATACACCATGACCAAGTAGGATTTATTCCAGGAATGCAAGGATGGTACAATATCCGCAAATCAATAAACGTGATACATCACATAAACAAATTGAAAGATAAAAATCATATAGTCATATCAATTGATGCAGAAAAAGCATTCGATAAAATCCAACACCCTTTCCTGATAAAAACTCTTAACAAAGTGGGAGTACAAGGATCATACCTCAACATAATAAAAGCTATATATGATAAACCCACAGCCAACATTATACTCAATGGGCAAAAACTAAAACCATTCCCTCTAAGAACAGGAACAAGACAGGGATGCCCACTTTCGCCACTCCTGTTTGACATAGTACTGGAAGTACTAGCCATTGCAATTAGACAAGAGGACGAAATAAAAGGCATCCAAATTGGAAAAGAAGAAGTAAAGTTATCCTTATTTGCAGATGACATGATATTGTACATAAAGAACCCAAAAGACTCCATTAAGAAACTAATTGACTTAATAAATGAATTTGGCAATGTAGCAGGATACAAAATTAACGCCAAGAAATCCATGGCATTTCTATACACCAACAGTGAAACTACAGAAACAGAGACTAAAAAAGCAATTCCATTTACCATCGCACCAAAAAAATTAAGATACCTAGGAATAAATTTAACTAAGGAAGTAAAGGATCTATATGCAGAAAATTACACGACACTGAAAAAAGAGATAGAGGATGATGTAAGGAGATGGAAGAACATACCATGTTCATGGATTGGTAGAATCAACATCATCAAAATGTCCATACTTCCTAAAGCAATCTATAGGTTCAATGCACTCCCCATTAAAATACCAAGGGCATATTTCACTGACCTAGAAAGAACTCTCCAACAGTTCATTTGGAACAATAAAAGACCCCGAATAGCCACAGCAATCCTGAGAAAGAAGGGTAAAGTAGGAGGGATCTCAATACCGGACTTCAAACTGTATTACAAAGCCACTGTTCTCAAAACAGCCTGGTACTGGCACAAGAACAGACATATAGATCAATGGAATAGAATCGAGAACCCAGATATAAACCCAAATCAATATGCTCAATTAATATTTGACAAAGGAGGAAAGAATATACAATGGAGTCAAGACAGTTTCTTCAATAAATGGTGTTGGGAAAATTGGGTAGACACATGCAAAAGAATGAAACTAGATCACCAACTTACACCATACACAAAAATAAACTCAAATTGGATACAGGACTTAAACATCAGACGGGAAACCATAAAAATACTAGAAGCATCTTCAGGCAGCAAAATCTCAGACGTATGCCAAAAGAACTTCTTCACTGATACTGCCCCTAGGGCAATGGAAGCTAAAGAGAAAATAAACAAATGGGACTACATCAAAATAAAAAGCTTTTTTACAGCAAAAGAAACCATCAACAAAACAACAAGAAAGCCCATGGTGTGGGAGAACATATTTGCAAATAACACCACTGATAAAGGTTTAATCTCTAACATCTACAGACAGCTGATACAACTAAATAAAAGGAAGATGAATGATCCAATTAAGAAATGGGCAAGGGACCTAAATAGAATATTTTCAAAAGAAGACAGAAGGAAGGCCAAAAGGCACATGAAAACATGCTCAAAGTCACTAATTATACGAGAGATGCAAATCAAAACAACAATGCGGTACCATCTCACACCTGTCAGAATGGCCAACATCAACAAATCGACAAACGACAAGTGTTGGCGAGGTTGCGGAGAAAAAGGAACCCTCGTGCACTGCTGGTGGGAATGCAGACTGGTGCAACCACTGTGGAGAACAGTGTGGAGTTTCCTCAAAAAACTGAAAATGGAACTCCCATTTGACCCAGTAATCCCACTCCTAGGAATATATCCCAAGAAACTAGAAACACCAATCAGAAAGGATATATGCACCCCTATGTTCATAGCAGCACAATCTACAATAGCCAGAATTTGGAAACAGCCTAGGTGCCCGTCAGCAGATGATTGGATCAAAAAACTATGGTACATCTACACAATGGAATACTATGCTGCCATAAAGAAGAAGGAATTCTCATCATTTGCAGCAACCTGGATGGAATTGGAGAACATCATGCTGAGTGAAATAAGCCAATCAATTAAAGAGAAACACCACATGACCTCACTCATTTGTGGATAATAAAGAGCATTATAAACTTATGAACCAAAAGATAGATATAGAGACAGTAAAGCAACAAGCAGATTGTCAAATTACAGCGGGGAGGGGAGGAGGATCTGGGGGAGATAATAGATCAACCGAAGGACTTGTATACATGCATATAAGTACAACCAATGGACATAAAACTATGGGGAGGGAGGGGCTATGGGGGAGGGAGGGAGGGGGGCAAAAAAAAAAAATCATTAAAATATGTAAAATAAATAAATAAATAAATAAATTAAAAAAAAAATAAAAAAAAATAAAAAAATAAAAAATTATCGAAGAGTTTACTTGATTAGAGTAATTTGTAAATTATAAATAATTTCATGATCTACTTAATCATGAAAACAGCATGAGCTAGTAATATGTTACGCACATCAAATTTGAGTCTACGTTTTTTGAGATTTATATATATGATGCTAAATAATATAGAAAAATCATGAAGAAAAGCAGAACATAAAGTTACAGCAATAAAGAAGATAGTAAAAAAGTAAATTTCATGTCTTGTAAGCAAAAAACACTATGATTTTTACAATTAAAATCGATGCCACTGGGAAAATAAGTTCTGGCTCCAAGTATAATAATGTAAAGCCCAACAACTACAATATCAAGAAATGCAAAAGTTATATCCTATCTAATAAAGAGGTAATATGCAAATTGACCATTACTCCAACACATAAGATGGCCACTCCATGTGGACACAAGATGGCCACCACAAGATGGCCAGCAAGGGGAGGGCAGTATGGGCTATCAGGCCAGCAGGGGAGGGCAGTTGGGAGAGACCAGGCCTGAAAGGGAGGGCAGTTTGGGGGAACCAGGCCAGCAGGGGAGGGGAGTGGGGGTTACCAGGCTGGCCTGATCACACCTAACTTCCCTCCCAGGTCAGCAGGGAAGGGTAGTTAGGGGCAATTGGGTTGGCAGGGGAGGACAGTTAGAGGCAACCAGGCTGGCAAGGGAGGGAAGTTAGGTGTGATCGGGCCAGCAAGGGAGGGTAGTTGGGAGCAACCAGGCCTACAGGGGAGGGCAGTTGGGGGCATCCAGGCTGGCAAGAGAGGACAGTTAGGGACAACCAGGCCTGCAGGGGAGCAGTTAGGCATTGATTAGGCTGGCAGGGGAGTGATTAGGGGATGATCAGGCTGGCAGACACAAACAGTTAGGGGCAATCAGGCAGGCAGGCAGGCAGGCGGGCAGGCAGGCAAGCAGTTGGGAGTGGGGCGGGGAGGGGAAGAGGAGCTGCAGGAGGTTGGCTGTGGGAACGCACTGACCACCAGAGGGCAGTGATCCCACTGGGATTGGGCCTAAACGGGCAGTCAGACATCCCTCAAGGAGTCACAGATTGGTGAGAGTGCAGGCTGGGATGAGGGACACCCTCCCTCCCCTCACCCCGTGCATGAATTTCGTGTAGCTGGCCTCTAGTAGTAAACATAAGGACACTGGAAAAAAGAGAATGACAATGGCTTAGGGGAAAATAATTTTCTGAGCGTTTTTCTTTTTTTATATTGAATGTATTTGACATGTAACACTGTGGTAATTTAAGGTATGCAACCTGTTACTTGGACACACACACTGTAATATGATAGCCTTTGTACGAATACTTATCACATTGGATAACTGTTGTACAATATTGTTCTTTATATTCACTATTAGAGGCCTGATACACAAAATTCGTGCAAGAGTAGGCCTTCCTTCCCTGGCTTCCCTCTGCACCAGGACCCGGGCTTCCCTCATAGCCCCGGCTTTGACCAGAAGGTCGTCCAAAAGAACATCCAGTCTAATTAGCATATTACGCTTTTATCAGTTTAGGTACTGTGCACTAGATCTCTGGCTTATTTACTCCTTATTTCAATTTTGTACCTTAGACACCATCAGTATTATTGCCCCACCCCATTTCCTGGTAACAACCATTACACTCTCCTTTTTTTATTTTTTATTTTTTTTTACGAGTTTGCCTTTTTCAGACACTTCACATATAAGTGATATAATACAGGATTTATCTAGGGAAAAATAATTTAATAGTTCTTTCCCTTGCTGCTATATTTTTTTTTACCTCTCATGCCAAAAAAGGGACTATAAATGCTTTAGTACTGAAGCTTAAGAGGGAGTTTAAGACTTCTGAATAGTGCAATGGATATGTCATGCATTATTATCTAATGACAATTACAAGTATCTAAAAGCTCGGTGTGTTGAATAAAAATGTAATAATTTGGGGTCAGTTCAATGCTTAGTTATATATCTATGTAACAATATTTTTTTAAAACAGAAAAAATTGATTCAGAGTTAAAAACAAACTATTACTTAAAATAAAGACAATTGATCTAATTATAAAATTAAATTAGAAGCCTCCAAAAATTCTAATAAAAACACTTTTCATACAAATAAACTTGTAATATACAATTCACTTTACCTTCATGCTCTTCAAATTCTGTTTGAATTTTAGTGAATAAGGCTTCTAGTTGCCTTTGTTGAGCCTCTGCATATTTTGCTGCTTCCTTTTCCTCTTCTCTTTCATTGCGAAATATGTATAATCCAGACGACGTCTTCTCCATCCACTGTAATAATACATCAAACAGAAATACATGGTAAGGAGGAATCATTCAAATTAACTGTCTCAAAAGAGTAATATAGAGTAAGTTTCAAGAATATGTCATACCTGCATAGGATATGCTCTTTGAATAACTACATCAACACAGCCAACATTTCCTCCATCACTGAAAAGTGATGACAAGGGGAGAGGAAAAGGTCTAGGGTCTGGAGAGAATCCAAGCTTGGCATACCAGCAAGCAGGCCGGGTACTGTTTGCAGAAATCTGGACAAATTAAGGAATACATGGATTTATAAGTTAAGTAGATAATATTCCATTCTATTTCAGATTTCACAATATTTTCATTCTTTTAGAATTGCTTTAAAAATATTATCCTATATAATAAAAGCCTAATATGCTGTGTCCAACTGTTCATTCGACGTTTGGCCAGTTGCTATGAGGTGCACTGACCACCAGGGGACAGATGCTCTGACCAGTAGTTTAGCTTGCTCCTCGGGGTCCAGACGATCAGGATTTGGCGAGACAGGCTGGACATACCCTGGAGCCCTCCCATAGTCCCTCCCTGGCCTTGATCAGCCCTGATCAGGACTGGGTGAGACAGGCTGGACATACCCTGGAGCCCTCCCATAGTCCCTCCCTGGCCCTGATCAGCTCTGATCAGGACTGGGTGAGACAGGCTGGACATACCTTGGAGCTCTCCCATAGTCCCTCCCTGGCTGGCCAACCACCTGTGGTCCCTTCCTAGCCAGTCAGCCCCAACTGGCCCCGACTGAGACTGGAAAAGATGGGCCGGACATGTCTGGAGCCCTCCTTCGATCCCTCCACAGCCAAGTGACTTCTATCAGGACTGGGAGAGATGAGCTGGACACACCTTGGAGATTCCTGTGTAACCCCCACCCCCACCCCCCAGCTGGCTGGCCCTGATTGGCCCCAATGGGGACTTGGCGAGATGGGCTGGACATGCCCTGGAGCCAATCTCCCGTGGTCCCTCTATGGCCTCTAAAATATTTCTTCTAATTAAATTTCTTTCAATGTGCATGAATCCGTGCACTGGGCCTCTAGTACTTTTATTTTATTTTTTAAAAAATATATTTCATTGATATTTTACAGAGAAGAAGGGAGAGAGAGATAGAGAGCTACAAAAGTCAATGAGAGAGAAACATCGACCAGCTGCCTCTTGCACACCCCGCACTGGGGATGTGCCCGCAACCAAGGTACATGCCCTTGACCGGAATTGAACCCGGGACCTTTCAGTCTGCAGGCCGACGCTCTATCCACTGAGCCAAACCAGTCTCAGCCAAAATATAATATCTTAAAAAGGAAAGGATTAAGAGGTACAAATTGGTAGTTATGAAATAGTTATGGTGATATAAAATACAGTATAGGGAATACAGTCAATAATAACATAATAACTATGTATGGTGCCAGGTGGGTACTGGAAATATTAGAGGAAACACTTGGTGAAGTTTATGATTGTCTGAGAGAGAGATTTAGTCATGGAAAGAGGGAAACCTATTACACAATGTCCAAAGAGTGCATAGCAGAGGTAAGGCTTTCTTTTTTTCTTTTTAGGTTGAGGAAGACTTGTGGGAGTTTGATAGCTCAGGAGGATGGGCACTGCCAACAGATGAGTGGGCTGGTGATGAAAATGCTCTAAAACTGATTGTGGTAATGGATAGAGTTGAATCACAGAATTGTCACTTTCAGTAGGTAAATTGCATAGTGTGTGAATTATACTTCAATAAAACTGTGTTTTTCCCCCCAAAATTGTTCATACTGCCATGGAGTCTTAATGTTATATAAATCTGACTTCTGGCATATCTTGTTTCATTGCACTATGTTTTATTACACTTCACAGATACTGTGTATTTTACAACTGAGGGTTGGTGGCAATCCTGCATCGAGCAAGTGTGTCAGGGCCAAGAGGGTACCAGTTCCATTTCTGGTCAGGGTACATGCCTGGGTTGTGGGCTCGATCCCCAAGAGGGGGCATGCAGGAGGAAGCGGATTGATGTTTCTCATTGATGTCTCAATCTTTCTCTCCCTCTCTCTTCCTCTCTCCCTAAAATCAATAAAAATATATTTTATTAAAAGAAGAACGACTTCAAGAAAATTTCTCAGAAATCAATGAAGGACAAATGTTTATAGACTGATTGCCACTGTGTACCCAGGACAATAATTACAAAATAAGGCCGATACTAAAGTATATTATTATGAAATTTCAGAATACTGGAGACAAATAATGTTGAAAATGTCTTAGAAACAGATCCCATAGTGAAGGACTGAGAATAAGAATAGCACTGAACATAGCAGAAGCTATACTAGAAGCAAGAAGGTAATAGAGAAAATGTCTTCAAAATTAAAAGAAATTATTTCAACTGCAAATTCTATATTTGGCCAACCTTACAATATAATCAAAAGAGCTGCATGCTCCTTTCTCAAAAAGGCTCTGGAGGCTGTGTGTCCTTAAAACTAAAGAATAAACATAGGAATTTAGAATAAAATTCAGAAAACAGGGCTACTGACATAGAAAAGAGGTGAAAATACTGTTTAGGATGATACCTGTGCAGCATAGATAAAAAATAACCATTTAAGGATAAAGAAAGAATATGGAGAAGTTCAAGAATCATAAAGAAAAATAAATGGAACCAATAAAGGTATTTTATCACATTGAGATGAGTTTTACATAGCTCCTGTGTGGGAATGAATTGGTAGTAAAAACACAGAAAATTAAGAAAAACAAAAACAAAAACAAAAAGCAAGATAGTCAGTAACTCCAGAGAAAGCAGTGAGTTGTAAAGAAAGTAAGTGTAACCTGGCCTGCATGGCTCAGTGACTGAGCATTGACCTATGAAATAGGGGTGTCGAACTCAATCAGAGAAGGGGCCAAAATCTAAAATCCAGCCTAAATCGCGGGCCGAATGGTTTACTGAACAGTCATAAACTGTCATTGTGATGGAAACGCAGCGGAGTGCAGTGATGACAGCGCGGTGCGGGCCACATTGCAAGGCCTGGCGGGACGGATTTGGCCCGCGGGCCTTGTGTTTGACACATGTGACTGGAGGTCAAGGTTTGATTCTCAGTCAGAGCACATGCCCAGGTTGTGAGTTCGAGTCCCTGTGAGGGCATGCAGGAGAAAGTCAATCAATGATCCTCTCTCATTTTCTCTCTCTCTCCCTTCCTCTCTGAAATCAATAAAAATATATTTAAAAAAAGAAATGAAATGTACTCATAGTATATTTCTGAGTTGCAAAAAATATTTTTCATAGTCATTATAATGTAAACATTGAATAAAAATGTCACCCCTCTTTCACAGTAAGAAGTTAATAAAGGTCTAAACTGAAGGAGAGAAGAAAATACAGCATATAAGCAAAGAAACAGCCAAAGGGATTTACAGTGGTTGCCTCTGTGGGGCATGAATAGAGGATCAGGCAGGGTTGCATCAATGTTTTTTGGGGTCATGAGCCTTATAAAATCGCGTGCCACTTAATGATGGAGATACGTTATGAGAAGTGTATCTGAGGAATCTGCCATTTTATACTGAGATTATCAGTATATTTTCAAGAAACAGAATAGCCTTAACAGGTATAAGTATATTTAACATTCCAAATGTAAAAACTTTTTTAGAATTTAACTGAAAGTGTATTAATTTAACTTACCTTTAGCATAAGAGATTCTGGGGCTTCAAGAGGCGGACAGGCATCAGGAGAGCCCACCAGTTCTGCTCCGTGAGTGATGATCTTCTGACCGACAGCCAGTCTACCTTTCTGCACTAGAGCTGAGAGGGGAGGGTCCAGCTGGGCCTTCGCAGCATACCATCCATCAGTCAGTTCCACAATAGCTGTTTTGCTGGTATCCACACCACCAGTTTTGCTGTTAGAAGTTTCAGTTAGACTTGTGCTTGGTGAAAGTATTTCAGAAACACAGAGAACAAGTGTTTTTGCAGCTGTATCATCCCTTTCTGTTATCTTTTTTATAGCGGATCTTTGACTTCTATCAATTTCCATATCATATCTAAAAATAAAATTGTTATTTTAGGAATTGTGAGTACAATTTCAATGTAAAAACAGTCAATGAATAATATATATATTTGCCTAGCAACCAAATGACCAGTTGACCGGTTGCTATGATATGCACTGACCACCAGGGCACACGCTCAATGAAGGAGCTGGCCCCTGGTGGTCAGCGCGCTCCCACAGTGGGAGGGCTGTTCAGTGACGGGCAGCAGATGCTGGGCTCACGGTTGCTGAGCACAGCTGTGGCAGCGTGGGCCTCTCCCGCCTCCCCGGTAGCACTCAGTGGGGCTGGAATGAGCAGGAGCCACCTGCTGCTTCGTGCACTATTACATTCCCCAAGGGGTCCTGGATTGCGAGAGGGCTCAGGCCAGCCCGAAAGACCCCACCGGTCCATGCACCGGGCCTCAAGTTGAAAAACTTCAGTAACTTTATTGAAGAAATACTGAGACAAGAGAATTTAAAATTCGGTAGCTAGCAATATATTACGTGTTATGCCATTAAAATATGAATTAAATATTAAAGCCTCCCAAATGCAAAGATGCTTTATTAATTAGCAATCCCCATAAAGTGGATCAAACTGGTAAGTTATGGAGGGGGTGGAGGAAGAGGGAAGCAAGAAGTGTATGAATGTGTAATTTCTCTTAAGCAGGGCCTGGGGGATGACAAGAGAACTAATTACTCCATACAACTGACCAGCAGTATGGGATAGCGACTGTCACTGCCAGGAAGGTGGCTTGTGTTCCTCTACCACACGAGTAGGGAATGTCCAGCACGCAGGCCATGTAAGGCCCTTGAAATCATTTGGTCTGGCCCTGCCAAGGCATTAGGGGTGAATTAATTCAATGAAGACTAATTTTTAAGTTCATAATTTTGTATGGCCTGCAAGTGATATTACATCAAAATGGCTCTTGGCAGAAAAGTGGTTCCCCATCCCTGCACTATGACATGAATCACAGACTGCACAGAAGTCTGAATTGTACCCAAGATATGATTACATAATATAATGCTTTAAACTTGCCTGTATTTTAGTTGAAGAAGCACCATTTCTGGGCTTAGGCATCTATTAGCAAATTCCTTAGGAAAGGCAAATTCCATAGCTGCCAGTTTCCATATAATCCATCTATAGTGATTATAGACCCAACCTCTAGAAATAAGCTTTGGATCCACACCTGGGGTGTCACACAGAGCCCTGAACAAAGGAAGGTAGAATAAAATAGCAAAACAAAACAAAACAAAACAACAACAAAAAACTCCACGTAAGGTAATATTAAATTTGGTAACAATGACTATTCTTGGCAAAAATCTATATTTTACAAGATCATTTAACAAATTTTTATGAGTTAATATATAATCAATAGCAATATAATTTTAGAAAACGATTTGTTATCTATCAAAATATACTTATAAAAAGTCACTAAACATTCTAGTCAATACAATTATTTCAACTGGAAAATGAAATCCTTAACTTAAAATACTTATATTTGAGATTATTTTTCTTATTAAAGAGACTGTTTTTAGAAATCACTTAAGAACTTCCTTCTCTAGTCCTGGTGCTCCTCTATCTGCTCAAATCTCAAACTCTTCTTCTTCACCCAGTCTCACTAAGGAACAGAAATAATCAAGAGAAAACTTCTATAAGCTTCCACTCTTACATATACCAACCCACCAACATCTGTATCCTTCACTTTGCCTTCTCCTGCCTTTTGTACACAAGCTTCCAACCTTCCTTGACTAGTCAAGGATACTGATCTAAAAAATGCCTTCTCTCGCTCCTGCATCATCAATTTTATTCCAGTGCATAAGAAACAGTTGTTCTACCTTAAAACAAACAAATAAACACAATGAAACTAACACCACCTACTTCCTTCTCTAGCTACTGCTCTTCTCTACTTCTCCTTTTGGCAATGACTGAAAGAATGACTACAGTTTCTTTCTCTAATTCCTCTTCTTCCACTACCCTATTACTGCATCCTGATCAGGCTTTTGTCCCACCAAATTACTGATTTTATTAAGATCAGTGATGACCTCCATGTTGCTAAACCCAGCCAACAATCTCAGTTCCATCTTACTTTACCTATCAACAGCACTGACATAGCTGGTCATTCTCTATTTCCTGAAGCACCATCAACACTTGGCTTGCAACACACCATACTCTAGCATTTATTCCTAACTTGAGATTGCTCTTTCTCAGTCTCTTTTTCATGGCTTTAAATTCCATCTATATCCCAACAATTCTAAAATTGATTTCTTTGGCCTATACTTTACCTATGAACTCCAAATGCCTATTCAACATCTCCACCTACATGTCTACTGATATCCCGAACTTCAAATGTCCCAAATTGAAACTCTCAGTTTCCATTCCATCCTTGGTCTTCTCAATTTTCTGCACCTGGTAATTATCCTTCCAACTGCTGCCAAAATTTTTGGAGCCACCCTCACGCTCTTCATCCATCCTTGACTATATTTTGAAGATGGCATCTTCAAAATATACCCAGAATCCAACTGTTTTTCACCAACTCAACTGTACCTCCTTGGTCCAATCAACTATTTTTCACCTGGATTACTGTAATAGCTTCGTAAGTGGTCTCTCTGCTTTTACCCTTGCCCCTCCCTACAGCCTGATTCCAACAAGTAGCCAGAGTCTTCTTTCAAAAATAAGCCAGATCATGTCACCTGCTGCTTTAAACATTTCAATATGAAACACTAGAGGCCTGGTGCACAAAATTCATGCATGTATAGGGTCCCTAGACCTGGCCAGCAATCAGAGCCGATCTGTGGGGCGACTGGTGGGCGATCGGGGATAAGGGGGAGGGGTCCCCCCTACACTGGCACCTGCCTTGGTCAGCCTGGGGCCTGCTGGCGGGAGGCAGCTGCTGTGTTGAGCACCTGCCCCCTGGTGGTCAGTGCACGTCAAAGTGACCAGTTGTTCCACAGGTCATTCTGCCGCTTGGTCAATGTACATATTAGACTTTTATTATATAAAATTATAAGTGAAAATGATTATTCAGAGTAAAAGCCAACATTCTTACAAAGGTCTTTAAGGTCCTACCTCTCCACCTGCTCCTGCTACAAAGTCTACTCCAGCTATCTAAACTTCCTCCTGTTCCTCAAATAACCATGCTCCCCTATTAGAGCCAGGATGTAGTCCCCACTTCCTTGACCTCCTTTAGGTCATTGATTAAATGTCACAGATGCAGTGAAGCCTCCCTGACACTTTATTTTAAAAAATGCACCTTTCTCCATCCCTCCCTAAGCCACCTTTCCAGCTTTACTATCACAGTATTTATCACCATCTAATAAACTATACAATTTACTTAATTAAAAAAAATTATTTCCCCACTCCAGACCAAGCCACTGAAATGTAAGACTTTTAGGGCAAAGATTTTCTTTTTTTTTTATTAGTAATAGTCAAAATAGTATCTGGCACATAGTAGGTTCTCAATATTGAATGATCCAAAAAAACTACTTGAGTCTCAGCACTCAAACATTCTGAACATATTTACCTGATTACAGGGTCATCCTTTCTTAAAAATCCTTACCCGAGGATGTTTTTATTGATGAGGGAGAGGGAGAGGGAGAGGGAGGGGGAGAGGGAGGGGGAGAGGGAGGGGAGAGGAGGGGAGAGGGAAGGAAGGGGGAGGGGGAGGGGGGAGAGGGAGGGGGAGGGGAGAGGGAGGGGGAGGGGAGAGGAGAGGCGAGGAGAGGGAAGGGGAGAGGAGAGGAGAGGGGAGGGGAGGGGGAGGGGAGGGAGGGGGAGAGGGAGAGGGAGGGGGAGAGAGGGAAAGGAGGGGGAGGGGAGGGGGGGAGAGGGAGGGGGAGGGGGAGGGGGAGAGGGAGAGGGAGAGGGAGAGGGAGGGGGGACGAGGGAAAGGGAAAGGGAGGGGGAGAGGAGCAGGAGGGGAAGAGGGAGAGGGAGGGAGGGGGAGGGGGAGGGGGGAAGGAGGGAAGAGGGGGGGGAGAGGAAGAGAGGGATGGGGAGAGGAAACGGGGAAAGGGGAGGAGCGGAGGGAGAGGGAGAAGGGAGAGGAGAGGGAGAGGGAGGGAGAGGGGGAGAGGGAGAGAGGGGAGAGGGGGGGGAGAGGGAGAGGGAGAGAAAGATAGATGTGAGAGAGAAACATCAATTGGTTGATTGGTTGCCTCTCGTACATGTCCTGCCAGGGGACTGAGCCCCCAACACAGGTATGTGCCCTGAGCAGGAATCAACCTTTTGGTGTGTGGAAAGATGCTTCAACCAAATGAGGAACCCCCTAGGGTGAGAGGGTCATTACTTTTAACCTCTTCTAGAGTCTACTTTATACAACAAAAGAATACAACAACTTACATACTTTTCCAATTAGAATTGATAGATTATTTGTTATAGGAGACAAGTAAAGATGTAATTAACATTTATGTTTTAAAATAACATAACAGAACTCCACACTAGGATGCCAGAGGAACGGCAGTGTAAGCACACCTTGTCCTCCACCCCTGAAATTTAAATAAGTTAACCAACTATAATTCAACAAAGATATCCCTGCTCAACACAGATGCACGCCTGAGAGACCCAGGTATGAAACATCTAAAGGTGTGCAACCAGGAATAAATAGGGAGACAAGAAGGAGGTACAGTGCAGATGGCCCACAGACCCAGCCCTGCAGACAGGAGCAGGCTCTTCCTTCGGCTGGGAGGAACAGAAAGTTGCAGGGCGAGAGCCAAGGGAGTGAACAGTGTCTGAATCAGACAGGACTGACAGAGCATGGGCCTCCCCACTGTCAAGCTGGCAGTGGTGTTTCAGACAAAGAAATAGAACCACAGAGCCCTGCTGCCACTTGGAACTCCCAAAACTCACCTCCCATTGCCCTTGAAGTCAGGTATAGAAGTATATTATCTATAAACAAGATTATCTATAAACAGTGTTGCAGTAGAGCCACCGTTTCCCTCGGTGACTGATGCCCAGGTGGAGTGCTGTGGTTGGGACTCCATGGGACCTCAGGGGTCACCATCATGGCAGCCTTGGAGGTTAAATCTGGGAGATCACAGAGGTAAAAAAGAAATCTTATGAATCTGTGTCAACTACTAGAATATAGTATAAAGCTACATGCCTAGAAAAAGGAGAATAGCAGATAGCATGAATCACCACCGTAACAAGGATGATCAGAAAGAAAATGAAAAATCCCCAGAAAATAAGCTGGAACATATGGAAAAATGTGATGTAAATGACAGAGATTTCAAGATTGCAGTTCTGAAAGTACTCAACAGGCAATTCAATGCACTCAGAAAACAAGTCAACAAACAAAATGAATACATTACCAAAGAGATTGAAACATTAAAAAACAAACAAACAAAAAAACCAAAAAAATACCAATCAGCAATCCTGTAAATGAAGCATACAATTAAGGAAATTAAGAGTAAACTACTAAGGATAGAAATAGAGCTAACCGGATGGAAGAAAGAATTAATGATATAGAAAATAGGAATCAAGAAATGACACAGAGGGAAAGAGAAGAGACATGAGCATAAGTAAACATGAAAGAGCACTATGATAATTATCTGACTCCACCTGAAAAAGCAATGAATCCAAAGAGGTCCTCTTCAAGGCAGCTGGTAATAAAACTGTTGAAAATCAATGACAAAGAAAACATTCTTAAAGGAACCAGGGAAAAGAAGGAAGTGACCTACAAAGGAAAATCTATTAGAATTTCATCTGACTTCTCAGCAGAAACTCTATGGCCAAAGGAGAGTGGAACCAAATATTCAAACATCTGAAAGAAAGAAATTACCAGCCATGAGTAATATACTCAGAAAAATTATCCTTTAAATATGAAGGAGAAATAAAGACGTTCCCAGACATACAGAAGCTAAGGGATTTTATCACCAGAAAAGCATCCATTGCAAGAAATACACAAGGGAGTTCTTCTACAATACATGAAACAAAGAAATAAGGTCACAACACTAAGAGGAAGAGCACCAAAAAACTTACAGCATAAACAGGTATAATCTGTGACAACAAAAACATAAAAAGGAGAAATCTGAACTAGCAAAGGAAAATGAAGATCAGATGCACTCAAAAGAAAAAAACCCACAAAACTATGGTATCTATGCAACTGCATTTTTATAAACCTATTGGTAACCACACATAAAAATCCCCAAACCAGGACACATAGCTTAAAAAGTGAGAAAACAAAGAAAAGAAGTATGGAATACCACCAA